TGTTTGACTCTAGGGCCTACATCTTACTGTCCTTTGTGAAAACAGCTATTAGTAAATACTCACCAGGTGCCAGTTCCTTGTACTACTTCTGATCCTTACAACCCTTTAAAGAAGTTGTTATTATTTATCTGATTTTATAGATGCTAAAACAGGCTCACGGAAGTTAAGTAACTTCCCCAAGGGCACCAGCTTATAAATGGAAGGGTCTGGATTTGAACTCCAGGCCTGCCTGAGTCCAGAGCATGTTTTCTCTCCTCTTTGCTTGCTGCCTCACAGTTCATAGGCCCAAGACTACATATTTATTCCACTGTCCCTGCTCTCACAAGATATATGGTCTAGGTGGAGAGACGATGTACACACACACACACAGCAGTCCTGTCACACCTCAATATGGAGCAACGAGCATATTTAGGTGCTGTGTGCGAGCCTCTGAGGCCGAAGTGGTCAGAAAAGCTGCTGGAGACCAGACAGGGCTCTAGTGCATCCTGGCGAGCAAAATGAAGGAAGGGGCTGGGGCTTGGTGGGAGCACGGGCAAGAAGCCATAGTCTCCAGGGACTCATTGGGTAGAGGAGTGGGAGAAAATTGGGAACAGAGGTAGGGCCCAATTGGGAAGGGCCCTAATATCAGGACAAGGAATTTGTCCTTTATCTTGTTTTTTAGGGGAAGAGACTAAAGGGTTTTGAGCTGAGAAGTAACACAAAAGGGGTTATTTAGAGGAATGTGGCAGTGTATACAGTGGGTCGAAAGGCAGAGGGGCTGGAAGCAGGGAGTCTTCAGCTGATTGGTGATGCAGGCCTGGCCTGGGTAGTGTGTTGGGAGTGGAGAGTGAAGTGGCCAGGCAGGGATGAGGAAGGATGGGTCTGCAAAGAGTCCCTAAACTGGATTCCCCCGCCTCTGCCGCTCAGTGGCCGTGTGACCTTGGGCAAATCCCCTAACCTCTCTGGGCCTGTTTTTCTCATTTGTAAACTGAACCAGTTAGAACTGAGGCAGTGAGCAGAGGGACATTTATCAAGTATCTGTGATGTGCCAAGGCCTGTGTTACGCTTTGAGGTTCCTGCCAGCTCTTGGATTGTGCCATTGGTAGAAATAAGGAACCAGGCAAGGGTAAATAACACTCATTATGATACTTTAAAATTTACAAAAGGACCTCAAGCCCAAGCTTTGGAAACTTGGTTTCACATCCTGGTTCTGTCACTTACTAGCTGTGTGGCCTGGATAAGTCAATTAACCTCACTTTAAAGTCTCCCTAAGTATAACCTGGAGATGATAATGATAACTTGACCTCTTAGGATGCCGTCAGGGTTACAGGAGACAGTGTCCGCAGAGTGCTCAGCATATAGCAGACCCTCAGTGCACTATCCACTTTCCCTTGAGACTTCCCTTCTTTCTCTCAGTAATTCTGAGCTGCTAATAACAGTGCACACTCCTTAGCCATTTACTTTGTGCCACTTCACATATATTGACTCATTTAATCCTCACAACAACCCAATGATGGATACTGTTATCCCTATTTCAGTGATCAAGGACACAGAGGCATGGAGAGGTTAAATGATTTGCCCTGTCACACATCTAGCAAACAGTATAATTAGGAGAAACTCAGCTAGTAAGAGGTGGAGCCAGGATTCATGCCCCATTTTACCCACCTGTTATTCCCATTTTACAGAAGAGAAAACTAAGGCTCAGAAAAGTCCATTTGACCTCAACCTCACACACAACCAGTCAGTGGCAAAACTGGGTTTCAGAGTGTGTCCATTGACTTCGGCCCCCTGCCCTTTACCGTGCCACCAGTTTTAAGAAAAAGAGGGATGCTCAGATGCTTAGTTCTATTTCAAAAATACTATGATTGAGGTGATGGTAAAATAATCTAGCAAAAGTATGCCTAGTAGCTGGGAACGTGAGATGTGAGTCTCTTTGCTTCACTGCTGCCTGCCAAGTGCCTAGAATAGTGCCTGGCACATGGTAGGCACTCAGTAAACAATCATCAGAGCGAAGTAGCCAAATTGGAGATATCTGGGGTGTTGATCTGGTAGAAGTAATGGCTGGGAGTGTAGTTGAGGGCTGGGGATCACAGACAGCCCTGTGTGACTTCTGGAGTTCTGTCCAGGAAGGAGCCTCTGTGGCCTAGGTACCAGCAGGCTCATTGGGTATAATCGTGGGCTTTGCATATGACAGACATGGGTTTCAGATTCCTGCTCCGCCAGCATACCAGCTACATGACCTTAGATGAGGCCTTGGACCTTCCTTTTTCTTAGTTTTTATTGAAGTATAATGGGCCCACCAAAAGTATACAGATCATAAGTATTCTCTTTAAGTGTTCACAAACTAAACGCACACATATAATCCACACCCAGATCAAGACACAGCATATGAGCAGTGTCCCAGGATCCCTACCTCACTCCCCTTTCTGATCACTGTCACCCGTCCTGTAACCACGACCCTGACTTCTAACTCCAAAGATTACTTTTACCTGTTTTTGAACATTTGCGTTCTTAACGTGTGTGATTTCTTCACTTTACACAATGCTGATGAGACTCATTTGTGTTGCTGTGTGTGGTTGAGGATCGTTCTTTCTCATTGCTGTATAGAATTCCATTGTGTGAGTATACACTTTTTAAAATCCATTCCGCTATTGATGGGCATTTGGATAGGTCCAGCTTTTGGCTGTTATGAGAATTATTGCTACAAACATTCTCGTGCATGTCGTTTGGTGCACATCAAATTCTACACATTTCTGTTGGGAAGACACCTGGGACGGGGATTGCTGGGGACGCACATGCCGAGCTTTCATCATTATCGCCAGTTTTCCACAGTGGTCATATGAGATTTCTAGTTGCTTCACATTTTTGCCAAAACTTGCTTTAATTTTTTTTTTCCTCATTTTGGACATTCTGGTGCATTGTAGCGATAGCATATTGTGGTTTTAATTTGTGTTTCCTTGATGACTAATGAATATGAGCACCCTTTTATGTGTTTATCAGCTGTTTGGACAGCTTCTTTTATGAAATGCCAGTTTGAATCTTTGGTCCAAATTTGAATTCAGTTGTCTGACTTTTCTTACTAATAGGAATTCTTTATGTATTCTGGATACAAATCCATTATCAGATATTGTAAATATCGTCTCTAACTCTGAAGGTTACCTGTTCATTCTTTAAATGATATCTGTAGATGAACAGAAGTTCTTAATTGTGATATAATGCAGTTTAGCAAATTGCTCTTTTATGATTAGCCCCTTCGTGTCGCGTTTAAGAAATTTTTGTCTACAGTTGTGAAGTTGTTCTCTTATTATTTTTTTAATCTAGGACTTTTGCATTTGGAGCTGCAGTCCATCTGGAATTGAATGTGTCTTTGGTGGGAGGCAGGGGTGCAGAAGCATTTTTTCCTCGGTCGTATATCCAGTGCACCCAGCACTGTTTATTGAAGAGCATCTTCCTTCACGGCCCTGTCGTGTTGCCTTTGTCCTAAAGCACGTGGTCATGTATATGTCGAGTCTGTTTTCAGATTCTCTTTTCTGGTCCACTGGTCAGCATTTCTACCCTTGCACCCAAATCAGGCTATCTTAAATACTACCACTTTACTCTAAGTCTTGATATTGAATTGTGTAAGTCCTCTACCTTTGCTCTTCAAGAGTGCCTAGGCTGTTCTCAGCCCTTTGCATTTCCATATCAATTTTAGAATGAGTTTGTTGATTTTCTCTCTCACACACACACACACACACACACACACACACACACACACACGAAAAAGACCCTGGGAGTTTCGATTGGGATTATGTTGAATCTGCAGATTAATATAGGGACAATAAATCCTTTTCTAATATTGAGTCTTCCAACTCTTGAATATGAAATATTTCTGTATTTCATTTTCTTTTAAAAATTTTCTTTTTTAAATTTTAATTCCCCTCCCCCCACTTCCACTCCTGACCTACAGATGTTGCCATCTCCCCGTAAGAACTGGATCTCTGAAGGGGGGGAATCTCCTCCCACGTGCTCGCAGCACGCACCCGGTGCCTGGCGCACCCGGGGTCTGGCGTACCCAGGGTATGGGCCATGGCTCCGCTGGGGCTCGAACCCAGGATCTTCTGCGTGTAAAGCAGACGTGCTAATCACTACTCTATGGAATCACCCTCTCTTAAAATTTTTATTATGAAAAATTGCAAACATCCAGAAAAGTGGGAAGAATTAGTACGATGAATTCCTATACATTCACCATTTAGGTTTAATAGTTGTATCATATATACATATATGTATAATTCTTATTAATTCATTTCATAGTAAATTATAGACATTATAGACACTTTACCTATAAATACTTCAACGTGTATCTTCAAAATCTAAGGACAGTCTCCCACATAACCACAATTCCATTGTCATATCTAGGAAAATTACAGTTCCCAAATTTCTAATCTCTAGTCATTTTTCCCCTGTTGCCCTCCAGATGTCTTTTGTTGTTGTGTTTGATTTTGTTTTTCAAATCTAGGAGCATGCATTGCTTGTTTACATCTCCTAACTCTCTTTTAATTTAGAACCATCTTCCCTCGAAGTCATGTAAGAGACTTTGACTTTTGTTAGAGATCAGGCCAGTGGTCTTGTAGTTGTCCCACATTCTGGATCTGATTGTTTCCTTATAGCATTGTTTACTTTGCCCCTCCATCTCCTGAACCTCCTTGGAAACTGGAACTTGTATCTAGGCTTGACTAGATGCAGATAAATTTCACTAAGTCTTCCCAAGGTCTCCTTCTCTGATAGGTCTTCTCAGAGTTCTGTATGTCCACTGGTATGTGAGCAGGAGTGTAAAGCTTTAGCACACAGCAGTGTCAGTAAGCAGTCGTAGCTCTTAATATTGTCCCTGCCTTAGGCCAGCAGTTTACCCCAACTTTTGTTTCCTGGAAATTTGCCCTGAGGCTTCTCTTCTCCCAGCCAGGCAGCAGTGGCTTTCTCCAGCCTGGGGCTCCTGGCTCTGGGCTTGGACGTCCCCCACCTTTCTCTCCTCCCACCCTCAGACAACACAGGCAGTTCCACGTACCGGCCACCCCCTCGGACTCGGGAGGTGATGATCAACGGGCAGATGGTAAAGTTGAAGTACTGCTTCACTTGCAAGATGTTTCGGCCACCCCGGACCTCACACTGCAGTGTCTGCGACAACTGTGTGGGTAAGTGGGAGGTGGGTGGGATGCAGGGAGCCCTGAGAGATGGAGTGCTGGAGTCAAGGAGGTCGCTCACGGGAGTCTGAAATATTCAGGGCTGGGCGAGGCGTCTGGTTCACCCAGATTTGCTCTGACTGAAGAAGAACCATGGAGGGGGCTCTTGGCTTCAGCCCAGGATTGGTACGTTCCTTCCCCCCAGGTCGGAAGTGTGGGGCGGGCACAAAGGCCCTGAACCCTTCTCCCAGGCCCAGCCTGGTCCTCAGTAGACCCAAGGTCCCAGCCACCAGAGACTGGAACAATAACATTTTAGATAGGTTTGGGCCAGAAAAGGAATGATCTACCCTCCAGTGGCCCAGGACAAGCTATACTGAAAGACTTTGATCTGATTCCCAGGGTTTGGGAAGGACAAGAATCTGGGAACAGAGGAGTTTAAGCTGTGAGGTGGAGAGGATGTAGCCAGGATTGGAAGCTAAGCTCCTGACCCACAACTACAGTGGTTGCTAGGGAACCAGAGGCTGTTTCGTTCCCTCCCCTGCCCTCCAAAGGCCAGGCAGCTCTGATGGGGACCAAGGGCGTGCTCCTGGGAGGGTGTCATAAGGGAAATGCTATGCAAGAGGACCCAGGTGAGCTGAGCCACAGTGACTGTGCATAGATGTCAGGGCAGTGAGCTCATCACGCTGGCTCAGCAGGGGAACAGTGGGGAACACCCCATGACGGTAGGCAGTGAAATGGGTTGACTCAGTGGGCATCATTCATCCATGAGAACTTGCCCCACCCACCCCTTGCGAAGGGTGCTGGCTTTGGCGTGAGGCCTGCAACAGGCTTATGACCCACATTCCCACAGGGGACTTTCCTCACCAGTCTGGGTGTGACCCCACCCCCAGGGACATGGTGCTGCTGTGAGATCAGCCCTCTAACCTGGCTTCTTATGCCAGTTCCCCACTAGTTACATAGCGGCCTTGCCCCTCCTTGGGCCTCTAATTCTACTGCAAGGGATAGGGGTCATTGGTTGTTGGCATGTGGCCGGGGTTATAAGCCAGGCAACAAGTACTTTTTGTGAGTCTTTTTCCAGGCACTGTTGGACCTGAGATTCAGCTCAGTGTGGGGCCAACACAGGCCCCCTCATGGACCTTAGAGTTAAGTAGGAGTAATTGGCTAGTCTGCTAATTATAAATTAGTATGTAAACATCATGGACAAAGTGCTGCAAAAGATAAGTGCCAGGCTAACTAACAGGGCAGGTAACAGGGTGCCCTTAACTTGTCTGGGGTCAGAGGACACTTTCTTAAGGAAGTGGCTTTGCAGCCGAGACATGAAGGAGGAATTACCTGCCATCAGGTAAAGAGACAGGAAAGAATGTGTATGGCAGTGGGAACCAGTTGACAAAGGACCTTCAGAAGCAGGGAGAGTCTGAGGGAGGAACTGAGAGTCGGCTGGTGCAGAGAGTGAGAGGGTAGGAAAGCCCTAGCCATGGCATGAAGCCTCGAACACCTGTGCTGTGCAGGCCGGCACTAACCCGCCTCCCCTGGCCCTTTTCCAGAACGGTTTGACCATCACTGCCCCTGGGTGGGCAACTGTGTGGGGAGACGGAACTACCGCTTCTTCTATGCGTTTATTCTCTCCCTCTCATTCCTGACGGCCTTCATCTTCGCCTGCGTGGTCACCCACCTGACGCTGCGTGAGTTGGCAGTGGGGGCGGAGGCGAGCAGGGGGCGAGACAGCGAGCTCAGCCAGGCCAAGGGGCTGTGGTCACTGTCCCTCTGAGCTGTGCCCTGTCCTGTTTCTTCCTCCTCAGGTTCTCAGGGAAGCAACTTCCTTTCCACTCTGAAGGAGACACCGGCGAGATATCCTTTGCCCTTTGTCCACTAGTGGATGCCCTGGTGGGAACTGAGGCCCCTTCACAGGGGTGAATCCCCACACCTCATCCTGTAAACAGGGGAATGGTGTAGAGCTGATGCTTGTCCTCTAGAATCCGATATACCAGCTGCTTCTGTTCACACCCAGGCTAGAGCTGATCCTAAATGGGTTGTCGTGGGATTGGGGTGGCCAAGAACTGTCAGGAACCACAGTCCCTGTCTTCACTTAAGACACCCAGTTCCCTGGACCACGTCACGTCTGAGACTCTTGGTGCTTGGAACCCCCTCTTCTCTCTACCATCTGTCACCCTGAGCTTGTCCTGCTCTCGAGGGGAGCTCCCAAACTCTTCTTGGGGCCCAGAAGGTGGTCCTGCTAAGTGGTGACTGGGCCACAAGAAGGTTATGAACTTATTTCCTTTCTGGGGCGGTAGCTCCACAGAAGTAGGTGAGAAAGGTGGGTGTGGCAAGCTCCCAGGCACAAGGGAGGCTCCCAGCCCTGTTCCCCGTGTGGGCCCTTGACTGCTCTGCCTGCTCACTGTGCTGGAGTTGGTGATCTGCTTCTTCTCCATCTGGTCCATCCTGGGCCTCTCAGGGTTTCACACTTACCTCGTCGCCTCCAACCTGACAACTAATGAAGATGTGAGTAAGGCTGGAGCAACCCCTAATCCCTGGGCAGGACCCTCGGAGGGAGGCAGGGCTGAGGGAGCTGGAGTGGCCACAGTGCAGCCCTGACTCTCAGGCTGCTGGGGACACGTGGGTGGAGACAGAAGGCAGCCAGACATCTCGCTGCAGTGCTCACGGCTCAGCCGTGGGAGACCCAGTACAGGTTTCTGAGGCCCCCGCAGGCCTCGGCCCTTTGGTATGGGCTTCTGGGTCCCCAAGTCACTTTCTTCTTAACCCCATAGGAGCAGCACTGGGTCCATAACAGTCATTGCATTTGGCCAGCACATTGCCATTTCCAGAGTTCTTTTAGTTCCTATCACCTCTTTGGGTCCTTTTGTCAACTCTGCGGCAGAAAGAACTGGGATGCTTTTTCTCCATTTCATAGCTGAGTGTCTTGCCCCAAGGTGACACAGCTGGGAAGTGACAGAGCCAGGCTGTGCCCAGAAGCTATGGCCATGCTCACTGTACCCCACTGCACTTGCAGGCAGCAGAGATGATTGTTCTGAAGGTGTCCTCGAAGCTCCTTGAGGCTTCCTTATTGAGGGGGCAGCCAGGATAAGACTGTGAAGCTCCATCAACCCTCTCTACCTGCTGCTTTACAGACCCCCACCAACGAGCACTGTCTGAGCACTTACTGTGTGCCCATCCCTGGGCTAGATCTGACCTCCCCTTCCCATTCTCCCAGACAATAAAACAAATGAGAGCATCTGTTCCAGGGCCACCATCCAATACGAAGAGTTCCATCAACCAACAGAAAATACATTCCTTGACCTCAGCTTCTCATTTGGGGAAACAAAACTTAACACACACGATAAGGCTATCATATGCTGGGTGATTGCAGGATATTGCTAGTGGTTAAACAAAAAGGACTGATATGAACAAATAAATTTGGAAAACTCTGGATCTGAGTGAAGCAGGTATCCTTCACTGCTGAACTCAGTGCCTTTGATAGCCAGCTTCACAGGCTAGAGATGGGCAAGATTTCGTCTGATGCTCCAGCAGTGCTAGCAGAGAGCTGGTAAAAGAGAGTTCCCTATTTTTCACATTAAGATTGAGACTCGCCAGAGAAGTAGTGATCTGTCCAGGGTCATGCAAGTCAGTGGCAGGGCCGGGGTCCACAGTCAGGTCAGCCTGAGCTCTGTGCCCTTGTTCTGCCCTCCCCCCGCCGCTTAGGTAGCTGGCCAGAGAAGGGAGGATGCACCCAAAAAGTTTCTTTTGGAGGCTTCTCTTTGGCTTTATCCTGGTTGGGGCGGCCTCCTCTCTACTGGGTGCTCCCCACATTCTCATTGAATGGTCCAGGTCAAAGAGGTGTCCTTTCTAATAGTCTAGCCAGAATTGGTTCCAGAAATCACTGGTTCCCCCCGTCCCTTCCCCCGACCCACGCCTCTAGACCGCCTTCCTAGAAAAGCAAAGCCTGACCTAGACCTTCCTGCTTGCAGATCAAAGGCTCGTGGTCCAGCAAGAGGGGCGGTGAGGCCTCCGTCAACCCCTACAGCCATAAAAGTGTTGTCACCAACTGCTGTGCTGTGCTCTGCGGCCCCCTACCTCCCAGGTGAGACGGGGTGATCCTGTGAGTCCACACCTCTCAGATAGATTGTGGAGTCAGCAGATCTCTCTCCACACCACAGTCCTCTGTCCACCATTCCCTGCTAAAGGCACTCAGGGTATTTGTCACATAAAAGAGTTCTGTGGTGAGTTGTAATTTTTAATCATGTGCTCATTTTAGGAAAAAATTAAGTACAGAATATTTAAAAAGAAGAGTATTAGACTCACATGTAATCTTATTCCCCAGGGATAACCACAATTAATGTTTTGGCTACGCTTGGGTGACGCTGCCCTTCTGGTGCTGATGGCGGCATTGGGTGGGGCCTCTGTCCTCCTTCCTGGCAGAAGAGAATCCTGGTAGCTCCACCCTTCTGGGAGGTGCCCCATCTGTCCTGACAGTAGGGGGAGCCAAAGCGCCAGAACTGGAGCTAAGTTGCAGTGGACACTGCAGGAACAAGACTTCCCCACACTGCACCCCTCTCCTGCCTGATGTCTGTCACCCATCCTGCCCGGGGAAGGACAGTAGGAATTGCACAGTCTTCAGATGCCCTTTCATTCTTGCTTTTCCCCTCACCTATAGCCTGGCTTCTTGGCAGCCAGACAGAAAGATGGGCCAGTTTGAATTAACAGTGAATAAATTCTGTGGCCAAAAGCCAGGTGTCCAGAGTGTGAAGAGGGCCCTTCCGGAAGGGAGGAGTCTGGATCTCCCACAGTGGGAAGGCAGCTCCCCTTTCCTCAGCCCTTCTAGGGCTGGGTCTTCCCTTGGCTGGAAGGTGGACTCTGCCATCCAGCCCCAGGCCTGGAGCTCTAGTGTCAGGCGGATCCTCATATGTCCCCCTTGTGTTTTGGAAGCCTGATTGACCGGAGGGGATTTGTACAGCCTGACACCGTGTTGCCCTCGCCTGTCAGAAGCAACGAGCCAACCCATGGAGCCAAGCCCGATGCCAGCATGGTAGGAGGCTACCCCTGAACCGGGCTCTGTACTTGCCACCTGCTGGCCTGTCCTGTCCGCCTCTCAGCACTCACCTGCCACCCTCCACACCTGCCGGGACCCTCCCATTCCACCCGAGGGAAGCAGAGCCGCCAAAGACTCGAGTCTTGTCGTATTTATTTCCCACCCTGCGTGGCTTGCCCCACACTGTTCCATGGCTGTACCCTCTGCTCCCCAAACCCAGGTTCCCACAGCCTTGGGCCCGAGATCCCCCAGTGATCAGTGGCAGGAGGAACAGGATAGAGAGGCCAGGGCCCCTGTGGCCCCCGGAGGTACCATGGCAAGTCTCTGCCTGTGCCAGGGCGAGCCCTGTGTGAGTGAGAGTGCGGACGAGTGTGACCCCTCCCAGTAGGGGGAGCTGCTGGGTCCTGTGAGCTGGGGTCCTGGGGTGAATGAAGTAGGACCAGCGAGCAGTAGGCTCTGGACAGTGGGCTGTGGGAGAGGACGCCTCCACAAGCTGCTTTGGTTTGTGGGCTCCTTCATTCTTTTTGTGATAATCATTGTTCATTTTTTTTTCCCTTTGGAGTTGGCCAACAGAGTAGAGCTGGAGTTCCAGGTAGAGAAGGCAGAGGTGGGGCTGGATGGGGGGCAGCCTGTGTCAGAAGAAGCCAGACCAGCCAGCCAGGCACCCGAGACCTCAGCTCCTCCGTGATTCCTGGGCAGCATACCAAGAATTGGGGGCCTTGCCCTCTCTGCCCATGGAAGGTTCTCCATGGGGTCCTGGCCTGCCTCTCTACCCCCCACCTCTCTCCCAAGTCAGGTCTAAGGATGGAGAGATTATACTCATGCTGGCAATACTTGAAACGGGTTTATTAATGCTGGGTATTTTGCACAATTTTATAGACCTCTTTTCTACGTAACATTTTTTTAAATGGAAGAAGAAAAAGTCAGCCACATTGCTATCCGTGTAGTGCCAGGTTAAGGGTTATCAGAAGGCAAGATGGTTTTAATAAGTTTATTACAAGAGACCTTCTGGCCCTGAGTGAGTGAGTGAGTGTGTGTGTGCGTGTGTGCGTGCGTGCGTGCGTGCGTGCGTGCATGTGTGTGCACACACGCTCTTGTTCAAATGTGGCTGGGTCCCACTTCCCCACATCCCCATGGCTGCCCTCCTCCCTGCCATCCCCCTTGAGTGTCAGCAGGCAGCAGCAGGAGCAGCTTAAGCCATGGGGATAGGGAGCCTGTACATTGGTTACAAGAGACCCCTCAGCTCCTGCTGCAGCTCAGCCCTCATCCTATCTTTCCCTCCTCTAAGGACTTGAGATAGCCAATGGCTGGGGACTCAGCCACTCACCCCCTGACCCCACCCCTCCCACCCAGCCCCCAGGTCAGGCTTCAAGCTGGGATCTGCCTAGACAGGCTAAGGTTGGGTGTGGTGGATGAGGTAATGGCTGTGGGGAGTGGCTGTTGTCTACAAGCCACACCCCCTCCTCCAAGCCCTGAGTATGGGCTAGAGGAGAGGGAGTCACTGCCAACTGGAGGCCTCTAACCAGAGAAAAGGAAGGAAGGAGCAGAGTGTGCCAAGAGGCGAGTGAAGATTGGCCTAAATCTGGGCCAGAAACTCAGAGGATGTCCCTCCTCTGATGGGAGCTATAGTTTCTTGTCACATAGATAGAAAATTGTGCCTCTGTCCCCCTCCTTGGCCCTTCAAGTGGGCTGAAAAAGACACAAGGAGGTCCCCGCATCTAGCCCTTTCTTGCTCCAGAGGCTAGTTAGCTCACAGGCAGCTGAGAAGTGGCAGCCACAGAGGGTCCCCTCTGGGAGAAACAGCTTCACCCCAGCCTCAGGGCCCTGGGCCATGCTGCAGTGGCACTGGGAGGTGGGGAAGAAGTTGGCTAGAGGAGGGGACTCCCAACTGCCTTTTATTTAAGCCAGTATTCTTTGTTCCTGCTTGTAATAAAACTTTTTAAGAGTTGATTTGTTTTGGTTTGGTTTTTGTTTGCTCTTCCTTTGCTGAGGCCCCAAATGGCAGCTGCCTATTCTTCCAGCCAAACTTGGTCTTTCCTAGGGAGACAGAAGGCAGGTAGCCCAGCAAGCTGGCTAAAGTTCTCTCCTGGCTGAAGTCTGTGTGCTGGAGGCAGAATAGAAGGGGCTGTGGCTAGGCCCCCAGAGGTGTGTAAGAAGAGGCCATCCTGTCCTCTCTTCGTCCCCTCGACTTTCCCCTGCCTCAGGGGCTTGAAGACCTCCAAGTTATTCCTTGCTATCTTTCCTCTCTGACGCTCAGTGACTGCTCAGCTAAGAAAATGTTTATGAGACAGTAGATTCCAGTTTGAGAGCCAGAGCCTCCCTGGCCCCCACCCCGGCCTGGGCAGCAGGGCCCAGCCAGACAACTCATAACACTGGCCCGCCTCTCTGGTATCTCCTCCAGGAGGACACCTGTCAGGATTTTGCCATCTCCTGCACAGCCTGAGGGGAGCTAACAGGCCTCTTTGCAGAGGGTTAGCTGGTAAGACCATATCTTCCCTGTCGGCCAGCACTGCCCGCTCCCCTCAACACACCACCTCATCGTCATCGCATGCCTCGCCCACCCATGGAGCCCATTCATCTGTGTGTGTGGTGTGGTATGTGTGCTGGTGGTGGCAGGGTCCCCAGGGCTCCCCCTGAGCAGAAAGATGGGGGCGTGGGGTCAGGGCAACGAGCCCAGCCCTTCTTCGGACTGAGGAATTAGCTTCGCGCAGAGCAGCCCTCCTACTGGAGCAGGAGGTGAAGGGCGAGGACGGGGAGAGGATGGAGTACCTCCTCTGAGGTGCCTGGGCCTGTTCTGGTGGTGTCCTGGTGTGTAGGGGCCTTCGATCACTAACACTCTCCCGGCTTTCTGTCCTTGCTGAGCTTTCTCTCACCTGCCCGTTTTCTCTCCTGCTTTGTTGCCTGCTGCCCGAGCCTTGGCCCTTCTGTGGGGAAGAGGCAGGTGCTGTGGCGGCACCTGTCCCCGCTGGCACCCCTTCAGGCCTCCTGTCTCCTCCCAATCCTGCTAACCCTCTCTCTTCCTCTCCTCTGCTGTCCTGCCCGGGATCTCCAGTGCGTGCGGGGGCTTAAGGACCTCCTGAGGACCGCTGCTCTCTGCCTCTCCAGGAGTGGCCTGGGGGGAGCCAGGCACCCGGCACCTCCACCTGCCTAACCTGTGGCCCATCTGCCACCATCTGTGCCTACAGGGTCTACCCCCAAGTCTGCCCCACACGTGTGCTCTTTAGGGTCCCCCCATAGGGGGCAAGGGCTGGCCTCTTTGCCCCCGCCCCTACTCCATGCTGGCCAAAATGTAGAAAAGCCATAATGCAACTGTCAGCACAATAATGTAACACTATGCTGAAACTCACCCTCCCCTCCTGACTTCCCCTTCCCCAGATCTGTCAAGGCTCTTTGGGAACCTTTCCTTACAGCCTGCACCCCCACCACCAGGCATAGCCATAGGCAAGCTGAGCAGGTTTCTTCAGGAGCTGTCTGGGGTGTTGATGGTTGACGCTGCTGAACAAGTTTGGTGACTGTTCTAAGCACAACTGGTTTGACAATGTTCCCACAGCCCCCTCCACCCCCACCACCCAGAGTAGGAGGATGCTTGTACCCTTTGCTCCAGGTACTAAGGGACTGAGCTAGCTCTGACAGCCCGTGTTCTTCAGAGTAGCTACAGGAAACGGGGCTGGGTGCCTTGGAAATCCGCCGAGCCCATGGCTGGGGGCTGCTTGCCTGCCATCCTGTATCTTTTTTAACCAAAATAAAGACTTCCCTCTTCTTGCCATACCTTTGGCTGTCTGGTGCCACATTTACTTTGGGGGCTGGGGTTGGGGCTCGCAATGACTGCAGAACATCTGGCTCATTCTCACTGCCACCTTTGTTCTAGCTGGTCAATGCTATTTTGGAGATTTTAAAAAGAGGAACAACGAAGCCAGAAGTGATATAGGAAGAATGACCAGTGTCCTCTTCGCTCTGCCCCTCCAGAACTACTGGTCTCATTTCCAGAGACCTTTAAGCCTTAGCCAACCTCTGAACTCTGGAAGTTCCCAGCCCAGACTGAGACAGAGGGCTTAACTCTTTTCTGGGACTGTCACACCCCTGAACTGAGCCCAGCCCAGGGGAACACTCTCATGGAACCTTCCTTCTCCCCAGCTACCACCCCACGTCGAGATACACAGAGTGTGCTAAGAGCTAAAAAATAACCACAGTGGTCATTTAGCCAGATCTTGCCCAGTCCCAGGCCTGTTTCTTCACCTAAACCTATGAGGAAGGTGATGTCAGAGTTTTTACAGATGAGGCAACTGAGGCTCAAGGAAGGCACAGGAGCTGCCCAGGTCTCCCAGTTGATAAAGCAGCAAATTTAGGATTTGAACCTGACCTCTGACCCTCCAGCACTACCCAAGGAATGAACAGGGCTACTTCAGGAAGAGGGGATCTAACAGGGAGAAACCCTAAAATTAGAGAATGTCTTTCATATCAAGGGGCTTAGGGATGATCTGTGCAGGCTCCTTGTACTGAGGGGGAAACTGAGGCCCAGAGGCAGGAAGGAACATGACCAAGGCCTGATAAATAGAGCTGGAATGCAGTCTCACACCCTGAGTTCATTGCATTCTCTTTCCAAAAATTCCACACTATGTCTTAGACTGAACTGGTCTAGGAAATGCAGGATACTCTAAACAGCAGTGCCTAGAGGAGAAAAAGTCTCAGGATAGCTGAGTCACTTAAAAGTAATCTAACATCCCCTCCCAAAGTCAACTAGTAGAAAGAGTTCTTGGCTGGAAAACTGAACTCTTGTTCACAACTAGCAAAGAGGAGAAGATGCCATAGTTTCCTCCAGTCTCCTGTTTAATTTGATCATTCCAAGACCGAAAAATTTCCTAGGAAGTGCTTCCTGGAATCTTAACCAGAGTCCTTCCTGCTGCAATCAGAGCCCTGTCTTCTGTTCTCAGTGGAGATAGATAGCAACTGGTTGCTGCCTTCTCTGTGCCACGACCCTTCAAAACCTGTTGTTACCAGCTAAGAAGGATTGGTTTTCTATGGCAGGGGTCCCCAACCCCTGGGCCGCGGATTGGTACCAGTCTGTGGCCTGTTGGGAACCGAGCCAACAGCAGGAAGTGAGCGGTGAGCGGCCGGCCAGCGAGCAAAGCTTCATCTGTATTTGCAGCTGCTCCCCAGCACTAGCATCATTGCCTCAGCTCCACCTCAGATCATTAGGCATTACATACTCAAGAGAGCATTGGTCCCTAGTGCCAAAAAGTTTGGGGACCGCTGGTCTATGGGACCAGAGGCCTTGAGCCTGCTGGTAGGATAGATGCTGTACAGTGTTGGGAGATAGTAGGCAGGATGAGGAAAGCCCCTTTGGGCTGCAGCCCAGCTCCTGTCCTGCTGACTCAGGCACCTGACTGTGGAACTCTGTGCCCTGCCAGGACCTGCTGCCTCCTGCCTGCCTGTGCTCATAGACTTGGGAAATGGAGGCCTGGAGGCAAAAGGAGGTGGCTGAGACAGGAACTGAGTCAGAATCAACAGGCCAGAGCTGGCAGGAGATGTCAGGCAGCCTGGCTCCCAAATTCAGCAGGGGAGGGGGATGAATAAGGGACTTCCTTTCTCATGCCCAGGGCTGTGCTGAGGGCATGGAGCTTGCTGTGTGAACCATCACCAGGCCTCCTGGCTTGAGTGATAGAAAAGAGAACCTCTCTCTCTAGAGGCAGAAATAGCTCCAAAATTGCCAGGTCCTGCCTCTCAGGTTTCTGGTGTTCTGGGATCTCCAGCTTTCACCCCAGGACTTGGAAAGCCTGGGCTGGATAACTAGTACAAAGGAAGGTCCTTAAGGGCCTAGCATCTGCAATAGGCCAGAAGAATGTTCAAAATGAAGAGGGAGGAGGCAGTACTTTGAGAGCACATCTGACCGTTGCTCTGACTTATTTCCCCTGCGGACACCCAGCTGGCAGGCCTTGATCTGGTCTTCGGCTGAAGCCTGGTGCGGGCCCTCCCTCATTTCATAGACCCTGGCTCTATGTTCATGCTGTGAATGTCTATGTTTATAATAAAGTTGGTTTGTTTTTTTTTCACATGATAATAATGGTTACCATCCACTCTACTAAGTGCTTTCCATCATTTAATCTTCATAACAAGCCCCATTTTACACTTAGGAAAACTGAGGCTCACAGAGGTTAAGTCACTTGGCGAAGATCACAACTGCTTGTTAAGAATTGAACTCAGGTGATCTGACTCTAAAGATACTTGGCTATTCTGTCTCTCAGAAAAATAAAATACGCATTCATCATTGATAATTTGAAGAGGATAGGAAAAGGAACATTAAAGTCTCACTACCTAAAATACTCTCTGTAAATTTGTATTTTAGTGCCGTGGTCCCCAACCTTTTTGGCCCTAGGGACTGGTGCTCCTATGAGAATCTAATGCCTGATGATCTGAGGTGGGGCTGAGGCAGTGATACTAGTGCTGGAGAGCAAACTGCAAATACAGATAAAGCTCTGCTCGCCGCTTACCTCTTGATGTGTGGCCCGATTCCTAATAAGCCACGGACCGGTACTGGTTCGTGGCTGGAGAGTTGGGGACCTGTTTTAGTGTATTTTCTTTCCATTATTTTCTGTGTTGGTGATCTGATTTGAGCAAAGCCTTCAGGATATCAAGCCTAAAATCCTTTCTACTTCCTTGGAAAACTTGTAGCAGCAGCCCAGACATGTCCCTACTCTTATAAGAGGCAGATCTCATCTTTGGGGCTTGAATTCTGGCCCGAGCTTCCCTCCAGAAGGGGAGGGTGGGTGTTCAGACACCAGAAGAACCTGGGGAGGGACAGGCCTATGAAATGGTCCTGGCTCCAGGATTAAGCTGGCAGGATCCCAGTGAGGGGAGCCCCACCCCTAAGCCCCATCTGAGCTTTAGCTAGGGGTAGGGCAGATAAGCAGGAACCCACCCAGGGGTCAGAGGTGGGGCCATGGGCAAAGGGA